AAGTTCGTAAATCAAGAATATAAATACTTATTTATCATTATATACAAAATATTTAATTTAGTTGGTAAGTATAAAGAACATTAATTTCTAGAAATAAAACCAGCAAAACAAGTCACAAAACAAGAACATAAATATTAATTTTCTATCATTTTATTCGCATTTATTTAGTCAGTGAGTATAAAGAATATTTATAATTTCTAGAATAAACCAAATTCGCAAAAAAGAATATTATATAGATATTGCATACGAAGTATGCAATAACTGCTGGATTTTATGGACGATGATGATTGGTTGGTAACCCAGCCGCACTGGCTGGGTTACCGAATGATCAGAAGAGAACATAAAATACAACGATTAGTGCATACGGCGAATACAATAACGGGTTTATTTTATGATTTACTATCTCAGATTTATGAAATAGTTCAATTATTTTATCATTTAAAAATACCATAAAATAGTTGATTTACTTTATAAACTGATCATAAAAAACTTTAAATAAAAATCCTTATTTACAATTATGTATAAATCATTTATTCACATTAATCATTTCATCAGCGCGTAAGTACAAAAAACATTTAATGCCTGCTAAAAAACAAAACAGCAACACAAGTTTACAAAAACGATATTATAATTTTATTTATCCTAATTTAGTGGGTGAGTATAAAAAAATATTTAATAATTTCCAGAAATGAAGCTAGCAAAAAAATAATATATTTTATTTGTCCTAATTTAGTAGGTAAGTATAAAAACATTTAATAATTATTACTTAAATAAAAAAAAATAATAATATAATTTTATTTATCCTAATTTAGTGAGTGAGTGTAAAAAACATTTAATAGTTTCTGAATATAAACAGCAAAATAAGTTTACAAAACAAGAACGTAAATATTTATTCACTATTATGTACAAATCATTTTATTCGCATCAATCATTTCATTCAGTGAGTGAGTATAAAGAGCATTTAATAATTTCTAGAAATAAAAAAAGTTCACAAAACAAGAATAAAAATACTTATTTATCATCATTTCATTCCTTAATTTAGTGGGTAAGTATAAAGATTATTAAAAACAGGTGCAAAAATACTTATTTACCGTTACATACAAATCATTTCATTCAGCTCGTGAGTATAAAAAACATTCAATAATTTCTAGAAATAAAGAAAGCAAAAAAGTCCATAAAACAAGACATGGATACTTATTTACCATCACTCATTTACATTAATTTAGTTAGTGAGTATAAAGAAATTTTATAGAATAAACCAAATTCATTAAAGAAAGAACATAAATGCTTATTTATCATCACGTACAAATCACTTCATTTGCATTAATTTAGTCGGTGAGTATATAAATTATTTGCATTCGTTAATGTTTAAAGTCGCAGGTGTGAAAATAAACATTTTATATTACGTATATAGAAAGTCTAAATATGGAAAATGTGCACATTGTAATGAAGCTAACACTTATAAAGCATGGTGTATATCATGTGACCCAGACACAGCAACAAGATGGACAAGTAGAAATAAGGATATTGATAATTGCATGAAAGAATTCCAACTTAGAACCATTGCATATGAAGATGTAATTGAATGGATTCCATTTAATAAATTATCAGATGTTAAAGAAATTGGTAAAGGTGGATTTGGATCAGTATATTCAGCAACCTGGTTGGATGGTATACGAAAAGTTAATGGTGATGATTATTCCTACAAAATATTTCGTGAATCAAATAGCACTGTTGCACTCAAAACGTTAGCCAGTTTTAAGGAAAACAATTTTGATTTTTTAAAAGAAGTAAGTTAATTTATTGCTTTTATAATTTATTAATAATTTATTGAGCTAATTTATTGTTTAAACTTAAGTTTAAAAGTCTTATTAAATGTAAATTAAATTTTGGTAAACTCGCAATATATGGAATAACGCAAAATACAGAAACAAAAGAATATCTGATGGTATTTCAGTATGCTAATAATGGGAGTCTTTATAAATATTTAAGAAAACATTTTAGTAAACTTACATGGCAAACTAAATTACAAATGCTTTCAGATATTTCATATAATTTAAGGTGTATTCACGACTTTGCAGGATACATTCATGCAGATTTTCATAGTGGCAATATTTTGCAAGATCAGACCACGAATGAAATTACGAAATCTTATATTGCAGATCTTGGATTGTCTAGAAAAATAAATGATATAGTTTCAGATAGCGATATTTTTGGAGTCATGCCCTATGTTGCACCAGAAGTTTTACTAGGCGAGCATCAGTTTACACAAGCAGCAGATATTTATGGGTTTGGTATTATTATGACAGAAATGTCAAATGGACAAAGACCTTTTGATGGCAATAAATTCGATACAAAACTTGCTGTCAAGATTTGCAAAGGATCGAGACCAGAGTTTGCACCTGGAACTCCTAAATGCTATATTGAATTGGCAGAGAAATGCATGAATTCTAATCCACAAAATCGGCCTAGAGCTAATAATATTTCTGGGACAATCGATGGTTGGATTAAAGAGATAGATAAATCAGATGATAATGTAATTAAAAAGCAATTCTTAGAAGCAGATAAAGTTATTAAAACATTGCCGATATCAAAGCATCCAGACGAAATGTACACTAGCAAAATTATTAGTACAAAAAGAATTTCGGAGGCGATTAAAGGTATTTATTTCAAATTAATATATTAATATATTAAAATTATGTTATTTATTTAAAAATAATATTATTTGCTTATTTAGATTTGTCTCTTGTTGATTCAACTCAAATTAAGCTTAATATTGAAAGCTCCGGTAAGTATACAATTAATAAATCAATTTTACCTATTTAATTATTTGTAAATTATAATAATTAAATTGTATCTTAAAGATTAGAAAAAATTAAGCTTAATGAAGTTGATCGTTAGCCGAACTTAGATCGTTAAATGGATTGTTGATTATTTACAGCTGTTTTGTAAAAAATTGGCCGATTCGATAAGTTTTTGACATCGGTAATGAGCGATTGCACAATGTACAAATCTTTCTAATAACAAAGATAATGTATATCGATATCTTTGCGCTTCAATTATACTAGATTAAGTTGCTATTACTTCAGACAAGTTGGGTATTTCAAATTAAATAGTGATTATTTAAAAATGGTTACTATAGTCGAACAAGCTAGAGGTTCCTTAATTGTTAGATTAACCGTTTCAATATTTTCATCTAATTCATACTGATTTACTATATTTTAAAATTCATTATAATTTATAAATGAAATATTTTTATAGATTTTACTGTGATTATAATTTTCATTGCAGTTTCGACAAATATTAATAAAAACTAAATTATAACTTGAGTTGTATTTTCTTTAGTCCGGTCAATAAATTCTTGTTCATATCGAACTTTTTTTTTATTAGCGCCTCCTTGTGTAATATATTTATTATAAAAGCTTAACTTATATTCAGGACCCTTTTTTTTTTGTCAAATTTGCTGCTTGGCAAGAACATAAAGTTTCATACTAAACATACCAAACATACTGACATACATTCAAGTGAAAATTAATTTGGATGTATTGACACTGTAGTATCGTTCAGAATACAATCATAAAAAACAAATCAAATCAAAAGTTTATCAAAAACTTATTTTACCAAATGTCCCAAAAATAATGAAAACAGTTGTAAAATAATTAAAGTTAAATAAAAATAAAATAATCACTAATAAACTTAAAAAAAAAAAAAATACAAACAAAATATTTAATTAGTAAGACTTTAAAAAGATAAAAATTATATACTGAAAAATAAACCACACATTTGGATGTTGAATATTTGACTTTTTAAAACGATTCAATTATTTAAAAAAATTCGGTATCAAATACGAAGACAAACAGAAATAGTAAATTTACGAAATAATGAAAAAGAAAAAGTAACTAAGATTCAGTATATATGTTGTGCCTCAAACTAACGCTTGCCTCAGATCACAGCAGACGCACCTCAGATGCAGATCATTATGTGAGGCACGTAAACTATTGATCTGTCATTTAAGCTGCAATCTGACAAAAGTAAGAGTAAAATAAATTGAATAAAAGACTTTTGACTTGACTCTTTTTTATTCGTGCTTTCTTAAATTTCTTCAGCATCTACGTTCTTTTCTTTGAATTTCTTTGCCTGAATTTTCGATTTCCAATTAATACATACTTTTTTTTCTATTACAGTTTTTTTTTTGCTTAAATTTTCGCTGCATATTTTTCATGTTTAAGTCTTCCCAACACGTTCAATTACAATAATATACTTTCTTATTCTATACATATAGGTTTTTTTCTGTGCCTAATGACCGATCGATAGGTTACGCACCTCACCTGACAATTTACACCTGAGGTGCGTCAGCTGTGATCTGAGTCAAGCGTTAGTCTGAGGCACAACATATATAAATTATTAATTCATAACGATAAATTGATTACGTACTATTACATGACAATTATGTGAATGTTTACTGAAATATTGTAATCGAACTAACAAATTCAAATACATGGCAGTATACCTGTCGTATGACATTCGTAAATAATTCATAGACGACCACCTGGATCATGTTTTTGAATTTTTCATATTTAAAGCATATTAATATTGTAAATTTCTCACGATATGCGATCTGTGACCATTTATACTATCACATTTTCACACATGCAAAATGATTGGTAAAAATGTAAAAGACACTCGTGACAGACGATAATTTTATAATAAGAGGAAGGATAGAGATACAATATACCTAGAACAGTATGGGCATATCCATGCTGCAAATATACAGTACAACATATATCACATTATAGTCCGCTAAAAAACAACGCTTCGGATGCTTCAGATTTTAATGCTTGTAATAATAAATTAATCTCCTACATATAAACCTTTCTGTTTAATAATTTCCTATTAATATTTCATTGACCACAGACACAATATTTGTATAACTACGCAAATATTTTTAAAATTGCATATATATCTAAATTATAATATACCTTTATAAACAACTATTTCTTTTAATTATCTTTATCGAATAATTCAAATTGCATATCTGAATTATGGTCTGAATATAATATATCTTCATTAACATCACTTATTTCTTTTGTATTATCTTTATCGAATAATTCAAATTGCACATTTGAATTATGGTCTGAATATAATATGTTATTACAAATATCAACTATTTCTTTTGTGTTATATTTTTTGCTAATAAACTTGTCATAGTCGATTAGATTTTCTTGTGTATTAACCGGTGATGATTTTATTGATTCATTGGCAGTCCAAAACTTTTCTTTTATATATAATCCTTTCGTTTTATCGGACAATCGAGAATTTAGAATTCGCTCCCATTGGAAAAGGGTTAAAAATATGTCCTTAGAAGCAGGCCGTCTCAGTGGATCTGAATTCATACATTGTTTAGCCAATTCAATATAAAAATTTGGCGTTCCAGGAGCAAATTCTGGCCGTTCTGATTTAGTACAAATCTTTATTAATAGATTTATATCATATGGATAATTTAAAAAAGGCTTTTGTCCAGTTGTCATTTCTGCCATAATAACGCCAAAGCTATAAACATCAGAAGCTGGTGTATATGGTTGATTTAATAATACTCAGGAGCAATATAGGGCATAACACCATAAATTTCTGATGTATTAACATTCTTTTCTTTAGATAATCCCAGATCTGCAATATAAGAAGCTCTATATTCGGATCCAAGTTCATTTATCAAAATGTTACCGCTATGAATATCATTATGAGTATATCCTCCTTCATGAATTTGAGTTAAATCAAGCGATATATCTACAAGTTGCCGTAATTTAATCTCCCATGTAAATTCATTAAAATTTGAAGATAAAAACTTATGAAGATCTCCTTTATTAGCATACTGAAGCACCATTAAATATTGATTTTCTTTATTTCGAGTTAATCCATATATTTCGAGTTTGCTGCCTTTTCGCTTGCATTGAAGGTGAGTTTTAAACTTGGAAAGTTATAAGATAGGTGAATACTTTTGGACACACTAGTTGAAAATTATATTTTCTCTTTTTGCAATTAATTTGAACTATAGTTGTTAGATGAAACCTCGAGGTTTCGCACTAACGAAACATGAAACCTATTTCGTCTTTCGTCAATTAAAATTTTAAGTGACGAAATGACGAAACTGACAAAAAGTGATGAAACTGACGAAACTGTAAAGGGTGACAAAACTAATAAAAGACGAATATACAAATAAATTTTGCTGAAAATCATTGAAAATTATGCGTATAAACAATAAAACCAGAAATTATAAAAATTACAAAAAGTTTTATTGTATAATAGGCGCTCGAATTGTTTTGAGGGAATTAGATATATTGTACTAGTACACTACATATCAGTTCTAGTGAGAAATCGCTTAGTTCTTACTTTATGATCTTACGAATTATTTTGTGTCAGTATTAGTTCATTATTTGTGTTATTCCATGAGTACTATGGCTTTAACAAGGTCGTTTCAACCAGATTATAACAACCCTAATTAGAGATGGGTTCGATTACGAACAGCTACGATTATTCATAGCCAATTTGCTAAGTACTGAGATTATTTTTTGTTCTTGAGTTTTTAATTAAAGTTGTTCAGAATTAAATTCTGTTCATCTCATCTTATAAGTAGAAAGAATGATACCTTCTCTGAAACTTGGGATTTTAAGATTTGTTACCATCATAGCCAGCTACTAGCCGCCGGCTAATAGTCGGCTATGACATTAACAAATATTAAAATTCTGAGTTCCAGAGAAGGTAACATTCTTTCTACTTATAAGATGGGATGAACAGTATTTAATTCCAAGTAACTTTAATTAAAAGCTAAAGAACAAATCGTCTCAGTATTTAGCAAATTGGCTATGAATAATCGTAGCCGTTCGTAGTCGAATCCATCCCTAACCCTAATGTTCAGAAAAAATGAATTGATTTATTTTTGCTGCCATACACGTAATTTCGAATACTGATCTCTGAATGATTATGAATGTTAATTCAATGAAACTAATTTTTTTTTTTAGAGTGATCACTAGGGTTTTGTCTTTTTGAGCGTAAGGTTTCGTTATTTTAAATTTAAGATTTAAGAAAAATTTGGGGCTTCGTCTTTTGGGGTTTAGGTTTCGTCTTTAGTCATCATGCGAAAAAGGTTCCATCTAATTATAATTCGAACTCACCTCTTTCAAAAAATTTGGACCGGATAACGTCTTGAGTGCAACTTTGAAAGAATTTTGACGTGATCTCTTATAGTTTCTATAAAGGCCGTAAATTCTTCGTTTGCCCTTCAACCAGATTGCTGAAAATACTGAACCAAATCCTCCACTCCCAATCTTTATTTGAATTTCTAGGTCATCATATGGAATCCATTCAATGACATCTTCATATTGTGTGGTATTACGTTGAAATTCTTTGATACATTCATCAACTTCCGTATTATCACTTGTCCATCCTTTGGTTACTTGTATGGGATCACATATAATGCACCAGGCCGGAGATGTATTATCTTCTTTACAATTTGGACATTTACCATAAATAGCTCGTCTATGATTATTCTATATTAATAAATTCAGAAATAAACTCCTGCAATTGATTTATGAATGTATTTATACTTACGGTCTATTAATTTAACGTGCAAAAAAATGTTAAGAATTATTTACTACAAATTTATTACACAGCTAGTGATTATCATCAATGATTGATTGATATATTAACTATTATGCTATACAAATAAAAGTTTCGTATAACATAGCTTTTATGATCCTAATAACGATAAAATCTGCCCATCATATATGAATAAATAGTCTTTGCAATAAATAATTTGATTTTTTTTTTTTTTGTGAAACTTCAATAATATTTATGACTATTTTACTCATATTGTGATGACTTGGCCGATTTTATTGCTGTTGAACCGTATAAAGTCTAAGCATAGTTTATTTAATAACCATTTTTAAATCAATTTCGAAACTTTATTAATTATTGTAGTATTTCATTTTTATTAAGTAAATTTGCTTCTAATTAAAGAAATAAAATTTTATTATTCCAATTGTTGTAAATTGCTAAAATCTTTTAATAGTGAGGTAAATAAAAGTCTTTGTAACACATCGGGCTATTTAGCAATTACCAGCATTTGCAAAATAATACAATTTTAATTTGAAGCAACATATAATTACTTAGTAAAAATTGCTTTCTATTCGTATATTATTTTTGAATTCTGATTGGTCGTTCACCATCAATGATAATCACAATCTTTAAATCAATTTGAATGATCTATATATTTACCATAGCATACTGCCTAAAATGCCTTTTTTTTAGTATCTCTTATAAATTATCCATTATTTTACATGACTTATATTTTTTACTAAGAATAATATTCGTGGGTATTTTGCATGGCATTATCCATATTACCTAATAGTAATTTTTACATTACATATATATGTTCATGCAAGATACTCCTATTTAAAATATCCGTCATCGATCAAGATACCTTGATTTTTTAGGCAGTTTACAGCGGTATTTTCTATTTGTATAACTTCATTTAATTATAACTTTCATACTTACTTTCTATTCGTAATACGCATATAAATTATATGATGTAATATTTAGTGCATAATTATATGTGCTGAAAATAAAAATCTCTATTGACTAAAGTCTGAGTGTGTTCTACAAAATTAGTCAATATAATTTTTATATTCATTATCTAATAATAACTCTCTTGTCTAATCTAATGTTGTCACTTTTTTAGAATTATTTATCTTCTAAAATAAACAGAGTTTATTATATAGTTACTGCCGATTTTCAAATGCTAAAATTCAGATTGTCCGGTTGTTCAAACGATTCTATCTCTAGCCAAAGTTAACCTATTTGGAATTATTACATCATGTTTGCAGATAAATTTTATCTCCGAAGCTTAATTTCATACATATGTAATTCAAGAAAATGACAACTTTAGGCTTTACAATTACTTTACAAGAAAGAAAGAGAAATCAATCATATATTAGCTACCATTATCAAATGATAAATAAAAGTATGCTAAAATATAGTTGATTTTATTTAACAAATTGAATACTTTGCTTTTAAATTTCTTATTCAACTAGTGTATTTAAATATAAAATTCTTTACTTACTTCCTAATCAAGCTATGCAAAAACATATGAAACAAATTTTTACAAACATTAAAAATAAATTTAGTATCATACTTACTGCCTAATAATTTTAGAAATTGTACATAATATTAATCAATATAAATTATAAATTTTCTTGAAATAAATATTAATAAATTTCATACTTACTCACTATTAATTAGTATATAAAAAATAATAAATTTTAAAACAGCTTAAATTGATTCTATTCAACCTTTAAACTTACTTTCTATTATTTAAATTTATTTAATTAATTATATAAATAACATCTAATAATAAATTATATTAAAAATAGCTTTCAATTTTATATACTTACTCTCTATTATTTAAATATTTAAAATTGATTTTAACCCCGATATTTACAATAATATTTACATTAATTAAAAATAATCTTAGAAAACTTACTGTCTAATATTAAATAATTAATCATAAAGCAAACTTAAACCAAACTTTCATAAAAAAATATATCAAAACTTACTCTCTATTAATATTATATAAATTAATAATAATAATAATAAATTTTAACACAAAATAAGTGAATTAATTGTCTTGATATTTACAAACTAATTTAACGTATATATAAATATTAAATTAGTGTTTATATTAAATTCTTACAAATATCGACTTTTTAATAAATAAAAATAAACTTACTCTCTACATTAATGTTGTAAGTGAAAATTTATTATAAAATATATAGTAGTGTTTATAAAATAATAAGCTAAATGAATTTATACTTGCAATCTGTTAATAAAATTAATATTTTAACTATATTAAACTATTATAGTAGCAAATTGGCAAAATAAAACTTCTAAATTTTAACACATACCGTCTAAATAAATTAGTTTATATTTAATATTCAATAGTAAATTGTTTTTATAAATTTGTTTCCATATTTCATATTTAATAATAAATTAATTTTATAAATAAATATATAAGCTTTATACTTACAAGCTAATAAAATATTTGTAATTACAATTTAGACGATATTTAATAATAAAGCTTTGTGCAATATATCGAATTTAATATGGTTCAAAAATTCTGCTTACCGTCTATTAATTTAAAAATGTTTAATTATAATAAATATTTGAAATCTATCTAATTAAATATAATAACTTTGTACTTACGTGCTTTTAAATTGATATATATTTTAATTTAAAACTATTGTTTATAAAAATTTTTAAACATTGAATTTAAAATAAAAAAACTATAATTTCACCGCCTAATTTAATACGATATATGCAAATTAATTATACATTATAATAAAGCATTTAACAAAGTTCTTATAAACATTCACTAAAAATAAATCTAAATAATTATACTTACTGCCTAATTTAACATATATAAAATGAATTCTTAAAAATGAATTGTTATAAATAAAATCTATAAAAATTAATTTCATAATTACAAACTATAAATTTAATATATGAAATTAGTTATTAAAATATTGCTTTGATAAATCCTTTTGAAAATAATTTAAATTTTATATTTACGCACTATTAATTAAATAAATATAAATTTGGTTAGTAAGTTATTTAGTAAATAAAATAGTAAAGTTAAATTGTACATGGGTTTGAATTGGAGTTCTGCAAGTGCCTGAATGAGCCCTATTAAAACATGGTGTAGGAATTGGCATGGGCACTGTTTTAATAGTAGGTAGTAGTTTACCGGGGCTTGCAGAACTTAGTTATAATATAGAACTTTGATTTTGCAACTTCAGACTCTTGAGATAAATTTCATAAATTTAGGTCTTTTAAATTATAACTTGAGACAAGATAGCTTTAAATACCTGAAGTTGCAACTCTAGAAGTGTGGAAATTTAACATGATAATATATTATTACTATATTTAATCTCAAGATCAAATGTTAATAATTTTAGATTATAAAAAAAAATTTAAAATAGTTCTTTTTATATTATAATAAATTTTTTTTGCTGAATTGTTACTGTAAAATTTTTTATTAACAATAATAAATCTAATTTTAGAAGTAGTGACTCAGGAAGTAGTAATTTGGCTAATTTTAACAAATGAGTGCCACCAAGAGAAAGCCTGCAAATATTATCTAATAAGATTTGCAAGTTTCTCTTGGCGCACTCAAATATAATCCATGTACAATATACAAATGTGTATATTTGGAAAATTTACTTACAAACTATTGATTTAATGCATATAATTAGTTATTATATGTTAGTATTTTGAAAATATATTTAGAATAAATTTAAGCAAAATTTATGCTTACAGTCTAATTTACATATTTAAAGTTAATTATAAAATAATATTAATATAATATTAATATAATTGTTGTATAATAAATCTTTAATATGCGCTATACTTACCGCCTAATATAATTGAACAATACGTATTTAAGAACTAAGTTTATAGAATATATTATAATAAAATAAAGCTATACTTGCCGTCTGTATAAAATCAATTAATATTTATTAGTAAATATTTGTTTTTTTAAAAAAAATAATTTATACTTACGAACTGTTAATTTGTATATATAAAATTAGCTATTGATATGATATTTAATAGCAAAAAACTAATTTAAAAAGTATACTTTCTAATTTTTATATAAAAGAATTATGAATATTTATAATAAATTTTATAACAACAAATCTTAAAATTAAAGTACTTTACTGTCATGAAATAACGCGCAGGGTGTAATTTCAAATTTTGGTCTAAATTAAACTTAATTTGGGCCATTGTTCTATATAACACCTATGAACATTATTTCGCGACAACAAAGTATATATTTTACTTACATACTATTATGCGTGTGGTTCATTATATAGAACTAAATATTAGAAAATAATGTTCAAAATAAAATTTTTGTAAATATTGATTTTAAATAAACTTATAATTACAGACTAGTTTTAAAAATGTATAAATAATTATAACGAATAATTAATATTAGTAATTATAACAATAAAATGGTTATACTAACTTTCTATTAATTTAAATATAAATTAGTTTATAAATTTTATAACTAGCGATTATTAATAAAGTTTTACTACCGTCTATTAATTAAATATATTAGTTAGTTGTCAATTTGTAAATACAGACAACTTTATACCTACTGCTCTCTTTAAAAAAATATAAAGTAAATAATAATTTTTGCAAATATAGTTTAACTATTAAGAACTTTATACTTACAAACTATTAATCCAATATATATAAAATTGATTATTAAGGTATTTAAGTTAAGTTATTAAAATTTTAACATACTTACAAACTATTAAATAAATAATATAATTATAAAATAAAAATCAATAATTTAAATTAAAGTAAATATTATGTAAAATTTTACTTACTCTCTATTGATAATTATTAAAATTATATTTATTAAATTTTAGACTTTATAAATAAATAAAAAACAACTATTTTCATTATAATAATTTGCTATTTCTGCTATTTATAATATTTAGATAAGTTTAATACTGCTATTTGCTAATGCTGCTCGCTTGGAATATAATCACTTCATAGACACTTTAGTTTACAGACAATTAAACATAGATAAACCAGTTTATAGTTTGTATAAGAAATGGGCCTGTCAGTAAAATGAGCTGATGGAGAGATAAATTATCTATAAAGTAAATTGATTGTCTATAAAATAAACTTGCTGTAATTAAATATCTACAAACTAAGATGTCTATAATGTAAGTTCTTATTTTTATAAGTTAAATGCATTTTGTGTCGGCATATTTTCTAATTACTATAGTGAAAATAGTAATTATCTAAATAAATTACTTTCTATATTTACCGCCTAATTTAATATATATTTAATTTTAAAATAATGTGTAATAGTTAATTTTAATTTAACTTAAGATATACTTACGAACTATAAATTTATAAAATTTAATTATAAAAATAATATATAATAATAAAGTTTTATAAAATAAAATTTTAAAAATAGATATATTAAGCTTTATATTTACATTCTATTAATTCAAAATAAAAAATAGCATTAGCCAAATTTTTAACTATTGAGTT